CTTTATAACATTACGATGCAAAGTTTTCTCCATTTTCAAGAGAAGTCGCTAGTAGTTACGTTTGAAGTTTTTTTTTTTAACAGTCAGATATCATTTTACCTGGAAAGAAACAACGCTCTATTAATAAGAGTTGAAATTAATGCATTGACGATTTCACAGCCTTAGCATTACTTCATAGTCGGTCTATGAACTTTTCAACTCGCCCTCGTATATACAATAGACGTATTTTGCCAGTAACTCCCGGCCACTGACAATCTTCTCTTAATTTTCAACGTATTCAGATTTTAAAATCATTAGTAATGCATTCACATTCTGCATATATGAAAGTTAATTATTTAGTAATATTTGCATTAATGCCTGACCATTGACAATCCCTTTTCTGTGTGACTTTCAATGCATTCCAATATTAAAATCATTACAACGCAATAACAATTCCTGACCAAGGATATTTTTTCACTTCCTGGCATTCAATGTCTTGTATTATTTTTCTTTTATTTATTTATTTATTTATTTATTTCAAGAATGAACTTCAAACAAATTATTTATTCAATCTTATATATTAACTGCTTTGTAACAATTAGTTTTTACTTTTTTGGTTGGTCTGGATAAGATTTTTTTTTTTCAAAAGATGAATGGTCAATCGACCGGAAGTGGCAAAGATGTAAGGCACCAAACGACGACATCGTTCAGCGTCTGATACGATCTGTAACCTCTTGTCCTTCACAAGAATCAAATAAGAAAGGACTCTAAGCCAAAACTTTCAAGTCAGTGGGTTAAGAGTCTCTGTTTGATACAGTTAAGTTCTCCTCTTGTCAATGCTGCCTTCACCAGTCTCGAAAAAAACAAAAACAAAAAAACCTTACCCTGACCTTACCATCTGCAGGGGGAGAATGTTATAAACAACCAAGTCTCTGGCCTATTAGGGCATCAGTTCACGAATCTTGAACAATGGCCGCAGTAAGAGCGAAATGGTTAGATGCTACAGATGGTGTGCTTAACAGAGAGAAAATTGAACAGTGGGTGGCCGTATAGATGCGTTTATTTTGTAGAGACCATATTATGGAGGCACTGTGTAGTAATGGATAGCGGATCGGATGGAAGAATTAGAGATCCGAGTTCGAATTCCAGTCGAATCCATTACATTCCCTTACGTGCCAATACCCTTCTCTCACCCCGTCCCAGCTATGGGCAAATAGCAGGGCAGACCGGGCTCTATAACCTTGGATGGCAACTGGTCTATCGCAGAAAGAAATGCCAACCTACTGCGGGGAAAAGTCTGCCTCATCAGTCATGTATCGAAAGATACATGATCGTTTAGGCGTGTATCACGCATGGCACATAATTGACTGACGTGCTAATACCCTTGGTACGAACCCTATTCTCCCTCAATCTATGGGTAAATAGCAGGACAGACCAGGCAGAAAGAAATGGCAGCCTACTGCGGAAAAAAACTGCCTCGTCAGTCACGTATAGAAAGATACATGATCACCTAAGCGTGTATCAGGCATGGCACATAACTGACTGATAGCAGTTGTAAAGGAAGACATTCTTAAAGACAGGGCAGACCGGGTTCTATAGCCTTGGATGGCAACTGGTCTACCGCAGAAAGAAATGGAAACCTACTGCGGGAAAAATCTGCATCGTCAGTCATGTATCAAAAGATGATTATTGAAAGTTTTGAAGATAAGAGATGAAAATGGTAAGCGGGGAAATGATGAAACAACACTGTAAAAGATACCTGAATGCGGCTTATAGACAAATAGTTAATTAGACAAAGACAGACTTACAGAGTTGAACAAAGTGAGATAGAAAAATGTGAACTGACTGAGGTAGACAGAGATAGATAATAAATCAACGGATATATATATATATATATATATATATATATATATATATATATATATATATATATATATCCGAGGTACCCGACGTTGCCCGTGTGTACATGTCTGCAATTGTATAACCGCAGCCCTGTATAGCTGCACTCCCTGTCTAGAAATATCTGCCAACAACAAATACTTTTTTACACCCAACCCAGTTCTGCGTAATCAATGTTGAGTTTAAGCAAGCGAATGAGCCAATTGGAGTAAAGTGTCATGCAGATTTAAAATTTTCCCACTTGTGACGAATGCAGCTATCGATTTTTTTTTTTTTTGCATGCTAGCATGCTAGTTAACATTCGTGTCAGTCAGCTGTTGGCTCTCACGCTGGCCAATAGAATCTTCCTGCCTATTCGTGGCAGCCAGCCAATCACTCTGGCCAGTAAAAATGGTCGCAAACTACACGAAAACTGCCGTAGAAGTATGAAAAATGAATTATTTCCACTATCGATGGGAGTTGGGGAATGCAAAGTCGGTCTTGGCCTTTCCTCTAACTTGGAGCATGTGCATGTAAAATTTGGTGCAAATCCGTCGAAAATTGCGGCCGTGCATTCGTTACACACACACACACACACACACACACACACACACACACACACATATCCTGCCTTATATATATATATATATATATATTCTTTGAATAAGTGGTTTCTTTTCTGGACATAAAGTGTGTCGTGATATTCTGTATATTTTGTATATCCGAGCACTTTCGGCTATTCTATAACCCATTATTAGGGATGTTTTTATTTTTAAGAGTTTCTGGAGTGATGGGAATGTTTTATTATTTTCCAGACACGGTCAGCACATTTGAGCCGTGTTCATAGACGATGATATTGTGTTGGCTTTATTATTATTATTATTTTATTATTAATGTTTCCAGTTTTGAGTTTTTTTTTTACAATTTTTACACAGTTGATATCCACAAAAGAAAACATGTATGCATAAAACAATAAACATTAAATATAAATTAAAGTTTACATTATTTCCATTATACGGACTATTGTCCTTATCTTTGTCGCCATATTTATTACAACGTTTCGGCCGTTGTACGCTCCGGCCTTTTTCAGTTGGTTGGAATGTCGAACTGAACCCTTTATTTCGTTCACTTGGGTAGACTGTTCTAGTTCCACGTGCCATGTCAGTTAGACCGCTAAAACTCTTCCGACGAACTGCTGCTTCATGGAACCGACTTCCAAGAGGATGCA